TCCCTCCCAATAGGAGTTGATAGGTTTGCCTATCACCCGGTTCACACTCCTCTCCGGTCTTTTGAAAAGGTGTAGAGGTTTATCCTTTGTTTTAATGTTTAGAACTGGGTTTCCGGTTCCTTCTAAAATCTGAACTCTGAATTGTTTTTCACTAATTACTTATTTTTCTAAGAAGTAGATAGCTTCGCCTGTCATGCGGTTCATAGCCCTCCTCGAGTTTTTTGAACAGGAGTAGAGGTTTATCCCTTATTTCCTGTTTAGGGCTGGATTTTCTGGTTCTTTCAACTCTGTATTTCTGACATCTCTGCCTGAATTCTGAAATTGTATTCTCTCCCAAATAGGAATAGATAGGTTAGCCTATCACCCGGTTCACACTCCTCCCCAATCTTTTGAACAAGAGTAGAGGTTTATGATTGGGTCTCCGTTTCCTTCAACTCTGTACTTCTGACATCTTCACCTGATCTCTGACATAGTATACATGTCCAATAGGAGTAGATAAGTTTGCCTATCATCTAGTTCACGCTCCTTCCCGATCATTCGAACAGGAGAAGATGTTTATCCCTTGTTCCCTGTTTAGGACCGGGTTTCCGGTTCCTTCTAAAATCTACTTCAAATCTATACTTCTAAAATCTCCGACTGAACTATGAATTGTTTTTCACTAATTACTTATCCCCACCCTCACACACACACATTGAAAATAGGTTCATACTCCTCCGTGAGTTTTTGAACAGGAGTAGAGGTTTATCCCTTGTTTCCTGTTTAGAACTGGATTTTCCGGTTTCTTTAACTCTGTACTTCTTACGTCTCTGCCTGAAATTTAAAATTTTGTTCCGTAATTTTTTTTTTTTTTTACTCTCCTAATAGGGGTAGATAGATCTTCCTATCGTTGACTGAACTGGATACAATACCCTTAACAGAATTCAAAATCGTCAGATATTTTCTTTCAGATGAACACTGGAAATTTGTCTTTGAAAATGATGAACACTACAATGTTTGTTTTGAAAAAAACAAAACAAAAAAAAACAACACCCTGATGATGACAGTGAGCTTATGTCGAAAGTACTCGGAATAATGTGATATGTATCAACACGGTAATTTTCTCTGTTTCTTTAATAACGACACCAAAAAGCCTAACCGTGAATATGAAAGGATCCAATTGAAAATAAATAGACAAAACATATCTAAATTATTCAATGAAACATGTCTCAATGAAAACATGCTACCAATATATATATATATATATATATATATATATATATATATATATATATATATCGTCAGGGAAAGTAAGGCCTTACTTTCCCTGACGATCCGTTTAAGTGAAACCTAGGGAGGTTTGTCTGGCTCATTAGGTGTATCTATCTATCTATCTATATATATATATATATATATATATATATATATATATATATATATATATATATATATATATATATATATATATATATATATTGCTCTTTCGCTTATATCTTTGAGAATGTTATCAAAATATAGATAAAAATCACTCACGATCCATTGACTATCTTGGTTTTATCTATCTTGAAGACGTTTCCCAAGCAACAGAGTCGAGCACAATTATGCTTTCTTAGAAGGCGCCATTTTTTGAGCAATCACCCGACAGAGTGGTTCATTAAAAAAGGCGCGTAGATAATAACGCTTGATAAATTGAATTAATGTGACGAACTTCCGGTGGGGGTAAACGTATGAGTTTGTGTTCCTCAGGTAATGTTGGTTAATTTAACGACATATCGAGCCTTGTTGGGTTATTTTATGTGGGATATAAGATTTAGAAGTGAAAAGATCACAATAAATTAATAGCATTGATGCCGTTTAAACAAGGGCCAGGAAGGTAGACATAAATCCGGGTTATACTAGACTCAAAATGGTATACATATTCATATCTATCTATCTATCTATCTATCTATCTATCTATCTATCTATCTATCTAAGCCTCTTCATATTTATCTATCTATCTATCTATCTATCTATCTATCTATCTATCTATCTATCCGTTTCTTACTTTCTATTTCATTGTTTCATCTATCTCTCTGTCATTCTTTTCATCTATCTATCTATCTATCTATCTATCTATCTATCTATCTATCTATCTATCTATCTATCCTAGGCTCTTCAATATCTATCTATCTATCTATCTATCTATCTATCTATCTTTTTACAGGCTAAATAAATCGATGGGTAAATAGTCGCCATTTTATATTTTTAATTTAGCATGTTCGTTTGTTTATGATTTTGTCGATTGTATACTGAGGTCAGGTGGGCAACATCTGTGAGAAAAAAAAAGCAACATGATGCAATTTCCCCCGCCACAAATTTGGAGATGACATGCTGTAGTGCTTGGCATTCACGCCGGAATCTCCAATAGAAACATTTCAGTGTTTTGGGTGTCAATCTGAGGACAGTACAGAAGATGCGGAAAGAGTTGCATGAATCTAATGGTGATTTCGAAGGTGTTTGGAGTTAACACGAGTGATGGCAAAATTATGCCTCCATTCATCTTCCCAGTCTCAACGGGGAAGCCTACATCAAGTTCCTTGAGGAGACAGTGCTGACCTGGGTCAGGAGGCGGGGAGGCTGCTGAAAGATCTTATGTCTGGCAACAGGACTCTGCACCATGTCACACAAGCAGGAGAACCCAGTCAGAGCTGTCAGATAATTTCTACGACTACATCAGCCCTTACATCTGGCAACATAAGTCCCCAGATTGCAACTCCCTTATTTATTATTACCTGTTGGGCTCAGAAAACAATTTAATGTGGTCTAGTTTGTATTTTTGGCAGTAAATGTTAATGCCACTAAGGCGCCATGGCCTAATGGGAGTGAAAGAGAATGAAAATACTTTAGGTGGAGCCGGAAACAATGTTAACAAAGAATAAAACTCTACTCCTGTTCAAAACAGGGGAGGAGTGTGAACCGGTCGATAGGAGAACCTATATATATTTCAGTGTTTTGGGTGTCAATCTGAGAACAGTGTAGGAGATTCGGAAAGAGTTGGATGAGTCTAATGGTGATTGCGAAGGTGTTTGGTGTGATCACTAGTGATGGCGACATTATGCCGTCATTCATATTTCCACAGAGGCTTAATTCCTTGAGGAGGTAGTGCTGCCCTGGGTCAAGAGTGTGGCTGCTGGCAATAGGACTCTGCACCATGTCACACAAGCAGGAGAACCCAGTCATATCTGTCAGATAATTTCTGCGATTACATCAGCCCTTACATCTGGCCACATAACTCCCCAGATTGCAACGCCCTTATTTATTATCTGTTGGGCTCAGAAAACAATTTAATGTGGTCTAGTTTGTATATTTGGCAGTAAAAGTTAATGCCACTAAGACGCCATGGCCCAATGGGAATGAAAGAGAATGAAAATACTTTAGAAGGAACCGGAACCTCAGTCTTAAAAAAGGATGAAACTCTGCTCCTTTTCAAAAACAGGGGAGGAGTGTGAACCGGACAATAAGCGAACTAATCTACTTCTATTGAAGGAATAATAAAAATATAAATATTAAATACAATTTCAGAGTTTTAGGAGACGTTAGAAATATAAAATTGAAGTAGACATTAGGAGG